CCGGATTGAAGCCTGCGAATAGGAGGCTCACACAACTCCCCGCCACCACCACCACCCCTCCCCACTCCACCCGACAAACACGCTCAGGCGCCCATGTTTTTACACTTAGATCAACTTTGCCTTTTTTGCCTCCCTGGCCGGGTTTTAGTGCGCCTCTCGGAGATCCCTGGAGAAGAGGCGGGTGGAGGAGGGGGAAGTCTGCGGGGCTAGGGTTCCCGTCCTCCTTCTAGATTAGTGAGCTCCACTCTAGATCCTCCCGGTGAGCCTAGTAGGATGTGTAGGAAAACCCAGGGCGGGGGAATTGGGGGTTAGAGAACTGTTGGGTTTTGAGTTGTCCCCCCCCCCACACACACACCTCCTATTTGGGTTTTTACAGAGTTGTGTGGGCCGAGGTCTGTAGAAACAGGTTAGAATCATGTTTCCCCTGGTCCTGCCGCTGTGCTTATTCTGAACGATAAAATGCATATAAAATTAGCAGCTGTAAACCACAAGTGTGCTTAAGGCGAAGATTGTGGGCTTGGAATGTCACAATGGGTAAATAGTGTAGTGGACTTTCGCGCTTTGCGCAGTAGCATTTAGTCTGGAGCGTCCCTAGACTGCGTCTTGACTAATTTCGGGCTCCCTAGGGCTCCTAATTCTATCACTCTTATTACCCGTCCTATCAGGCGAGAAACGCTTCCCCTCTCTCCTTCCGCAGAGGACTGGGCAAGTTTACTCGCGTTCTTGGGGGACAAGCGCACCCGCTGAAAAGAGACACGGACTCCACACGTACAGCCCTCTGGGGCGCAGAACGTGGTTTTTGGTTGTTGGGTCTCTAGAACCGCTGGAGACCGCTGGCCCCAACAGGCGCGCGCTTCTCCAGCTAGCGCAACAGACGCAGGGCCGGCCCGGCGGCTTAGCCCAGGCGCTGCGTCAGCGCCAGTGAGCTCCCGGCTGTCCCACGCGGAGCCCGGTAGCCTCGGCTCGGCCCGCAGTTGGGCAGAGACCAGGAGGTACCAGACGGAGGCCCTCGCCACCTTTGGGCGTCCTCCCCTGGCGTGAATAAACACGCCCCTCCTTTTCCCTCAGAAACTGAGAAGGAGCCTGGGACCGGTAAGTCCCAAGGTGAGCGCGTTTCCCGCTGCGCGATCTCTGAGGGGTGACGTGGGTCTGAGCTGCGCAAGTTGGTGGGAGAAAGTCTCTGGAATCTATCTCCTTCAGTCTCTTTCCAAATTAGTATTAACAGTGGTTAGACGGGGTGGGCAAAAATCAAAGGACACACTCCTAACCCTGAACCAAGTGTGACTTTCGCAGCTTCAGGGCGAGTTTTTACCTTCATGGGTAAAGAAGTTGCCACAAGAATCAGCCAGAAGCAGCGCTTTCTTATCGGCGCAGGGGTCTCCCCTGCTTCACCCTCCGACAGGGCTCCGGGCCGGTCCCCGGCGCGGGGTCGCTGAAGGGGGGAAAGCGTAGAGGTGCCATGGCTGGCATTGGCCCTGCGCCTGAGGCCCGGGAGTCTTGGGCGCGTCTGGTTTAACCGCGTTTTCGCCCAGGCCCCAGCTGTCCTCGCCCCGGTCCCCACAGGGTCTGACCCGAGCGGGTCCTCGAAGGCTGGTGGAAGGGCTGGGAACCAGGGCGCGCGAGGATTCAGGAAGCGAGATTCCGAAGGTTGCTTGAGTAACGCGGCAACTCCAGGTTAAGTTCCCTCAAACATGTGGTTACTCACCGCGAGGAGCTGAGAGGCAAAGGGTTCAATAGTCAAGTTGGTGGGGACTTTCCCTACTTAAAGCAATAATTTGCTAATTCGAATCTATTGCTTTTAAATATCGAGTTCCAGAGACCTTTGTCAATGCAGGCTTAATTTCATCCTACTGATGAAGGATGTTTATAAACGGCTCCTGTGGAGGAAGCCGAGTGTGAAAATATCAGTTTTATGCCTTTTGATAAGAATTACCGAGGTGGAAGGCTTATTAGGCGATTACAAATTTCGCAGCTGCTCGCAGCCCAATTAGGCAGCTCTTCGCGGTGAGTGGAAACTGTAGGGGTCAGAGCGGGTTGGTGTTCCCGCTCTCCATCCCTGGACCTCCAATCAAGGCCTGGCCCCAGGGGACCCAGACCCCTTCCCTGACCCCCTCCGGCTTTAGGGAGACACACCCAGCGCCTCCCAACTTGCCAGGGCGTCCTTCCAAGTCTCTCTGGGTTTCTTCCTCGGGCCTTGCAAAGAGCCTTTGCAGTCCGGGGGTGTTGGTTAGTCCCCTGGGTGGGCTTGCGGTCTCTTGATTTTCATTTAAGGAGAGATGGCCATCTAGAAATTTCAAGTTAGTAGGTAGGAATCGACCCAACGCGGGTAATTCCTCTCCCACCTGCAGAAACACAAGATGATGTTTTTTGGTATGTCCTCCTTCGACCAAAATTGGTTTCAAATGGAGTTTGGGCTAAAAACCCTTATTAGAAAGACAAAAAGAGCCCTGATTTTTAGCACAGGAACCCAACTCTGCGAAGTAGCGGGCTAACTTTTCCTTTGCCCTAGCGGAGGAGGAGCGTGGGTAAGAGGTGTGACGCGAGCTCCAAGAAGCCGGGCCACGTTCAGGTGTTCACCCCTGACAAAGGGGTCAGGAGGTCCGTGGGCCCAGCACCAACAGGACGCTCAGCCCTGACATTCGTAGCAAATACCTGCACACCCCCTCCTCCCACCTTCGCACACGACCGCAGCCAAAGGCTTACAATGCCGAGGACACAGAAACAGACTCACCGCCGGGAGGCCTACAGAGCAAGGCTGTGTGCGCACAATCACACCCCGGGAAAAGGTCCGCGTCCGGCAGTGCGTCAGCAGTAAAGCGAACGACAGACCAGTCTTTTATGTCTTCTGAGGGCTGACGACCTTTCTTCTTCCCCATGCCCAGAAGCCAGTAAAAATGATTATTTCCTTCACTGATGCAGAGATAGGGGCTCTTAGATCAAGATTAGTATTTTGAAAACCTGATTGAGAGCCGAGCCGACTGATTAGGCGAGGGTGGGTGGAAAGACCGCCTAAACGCCCGCGCCCCCGCCCTACTTCCCCAAACAGCTCCCGCGCTCTTCGGATCTCCAAATGACCCGAGCGATTAATTCTCCCGGAGAGTAGCCAAGCAGTACCCCCAGATTCATTTTGCAGACCCTAATGAATAGTAACTAAATCTCTGAACTGGACCTTTTTTTTTTAATTCCTCTTTCAATCCTGCTCCCTATGAACACCCTGATAGAGCCAATGCTCTGACGACTTTCTTTCCATTCGGAAGGGCCATCTCGAGACCGATGCTATTTCATGGAAAATGCATTATGTGGATTTTCCCCCAATACTAATTTTTGCACTTGATGAAAAACACAAGACTTTCTGTTCTCCACGCACAGGTTAGCTTTTCTAGAAGTAGGTCCGCCCCAAGCCTTCAGTTCTGTGAGAGGGCACAGATCCCAGCGTCCTCTACCCGCCCCACTTCATAAATTTAAGCGAGATCTCCCAGATAGGACCGGAAGGGGGATGGCTAATATTAACCTGTGCGCAGCTGCGCGAAAAGGGAAACAATGGCATTAGGAAAATGCTATGGGGACCCTCGTGTTTATGGGAGAAAAATGTACTTGAGGGAAAACTAAATTTGCAGTCGTTGCTGGGTCCCAGACTGTTATACAGACTCACTACAGGAAGGCTACCTATCTCTGCCCATTGCCCCTCCTCTGGTCTGCTGTTGACCTGTCTGGGCGAGAGCCCTTCGATCTTACTCTTCTAGACAAACAAGGCAAGGAGATACGAATATATAAGATTATATATAGATATCTATATATCCGTTTAATTGGAACATCACATGATTTTACTAAAGGCCTTTAGGAAAGACTCCCAGGTATTCTTAAATTATATTTTGCTTTGTTTCGTTTCTTAAAAAAGGGAAAATTGGAAATAAAAATATTGTTAGTCTCTTACTAAATTCCCCTTTACACACTAAATAATGAAGTAAAATTTGCATCATAAAGAAGCTATTTAAACATACACTCCAATCCTCATCAAAATTACGGTATTCTGAGAACACCGCCCTCCCGTCCACAAACCCACAGCCAACATTTGAGGCAGGAACTGGCCCCTTCTAGGGCTTAAATTTTGTCTAGGATGAGATGAAAGAACAATACTATTAGCAACATACTTTTGTCTTTCTTGTAGACTTGATTTCCAAATCTAGTCGCAAATCATAAGCTTTTGTGCTGCTCAGATGTTCCTTCTTTATCTTAATGAGAAAACTTTTCGCAAAGGGAGCGGGAACAGCTAGATAAGTCAGCCCCCAGGCTGCCAGGGAGCGGTGGAGTTCCTCGGCTAGACAGGAGAGCTGCGAGTTTCAGGAGAATGACTAAAAAGTTTAAGTCACTCAGACCTCTGCTTCCCCTTCTGCTTGCTGCAGAAAGAGATGTAACTTGAATCTTTGTTTAGGTTTTGGTTGGGGAGCGAGAATTAAAAAGCCACGGCAAATGCAGAGAGCAGTTTTTTTTTTTTTAAGTCAAAAGTTAACAGGCCATTCCCAGTGTTGTTTTTTTCCCCCCTCTTTAATACTAAATCTGGAGTAAGTTGGCTTGCTCTGATAAAGATCTTAACATGTACAGAAGGCGGGTTTTCCTTAAGGAGGTGAGGCTATTCCTCCAGGAGAAGACTCCCCCTGCACACACACCCCCTTCCCTCCCTTTATGTAAGGTTCCACCCTCTGGAAAACAAAACTTTTTTTTCCTTTTCCTGGAGGGACAGACCTCAGTGAAGTTGGGATAAGAATCTTAAGAACAGTCCGCCAGAGTGGTAACGGCCACAGCGGCCTCTTTGGACGAAGACTTGCTTGTAGCGTTCTTACTCTTCTCGGTGTCAGCTTTTACTAGTGCTTTGGCGCGGGGGAGGGGGGAAGATCGGCAGACCCGGACGGCCGCTGACCCTCTGGAGTTGGTATGCGATAAGCAGCCCTAGCAGTGCCATGTATTGGAAAAGCGATCAGATGTTTGTGTGTAAACTAGAAGAAAAGGACGTGCCGGAGCTGGCAGTTCCCCCTGAGAAGGTGAGCGAGCTGACGCCTGGCCAGACCAGCTGAATTGCACTTTCCTTGAAACGCGAGCTGTTTGGGCTCCTAAACAAGGTTCAGAAATTACCTGTAACGGCCTCATCTTCAGACCTGGCAGTTTTTTTTTTTTTTTTTTTTTTTTTTTTTATTACGTAGTAGCGTTAGTCAGTAATCATTGCCTCCCCTCCCCACAAGCTCACTTAACCTGAGGCATGGAGACTGTAATTTGGGAGACGAAGCCTCGAGCCTAAGGCGTTCTCGGGTACATGTGAGTCGTGCTTTTGTTCTATTTGCCGTGTAGTGACCGTGGCGTGGGGAAGAGCGAGTCGGGAGGTCGGGGCGGCTGTCGGGGTGGGACCAGAGGCTCGGCTCCTTGCGTCTAGCCGCTCGCGGGCGCCCAGAGGCGCGCCTTTGGCCGCTGGACGACCCGCGGCGCCGCGGGCCCACGGCGAGACAGAGGGAGTCGTGGCTCCTGGAGGGCCTCGGGGGATCCCAGGGCGGGCCAGGAGGGCCATTTCACTTGAAATACCAAAAATAAGAAAAGGGCAAAACCCAGGGCAAACGAGTCACACCTTTCGTCCAGGAGATGGGGAAAACTGACAAGCGCTCACTTCACTCTGGAGGCAGGACCCGTTGGTGTCTCGCGTTTTAAGTTTGAAAATCATCTGCAGCCTGTTTGAGCGCCTCAGAGGGACCCGCTTTGGGTACCGCTGACTTTGTCGGACGTTGGCGGGGAATACCCAGCGAAAGCCGTACTTTTCTGCTTAAACTCTCTTTGTGTCTGAGAGGATGCGGCCTCCGAGCGGCGGCGCTGGGGCCAGGCCGGGAGCGCACCGGAGGGTCCCCGCTGAGGGCCGGGGGGGGGGGGGGGGGTCTCACGGGTTCCGACGGTGTCTCGCCTGGCGCAGCCGGAAGGAGAGAGGCGAAGAGTCAGAAACGCAGGTGTGGGCCGCTCGAGTTCCGCACCCCTCCCCTCAAACTGGAGTTTTTGTAGACGAAGGCAGAAAAAGCCTAGAGAGGCTGCGTTTTCGTTTAAGAACAAAACTCCAGCAAAGGCTTGGAAACACTTGAGTAATGCGCGCTGTTGCTTTAAAACATTTTGACCGAGGTTGGGTGAGTTTTAATGGCACAAATTAAATTCAGCTGGATATTTTCCATTATTCGTCCCGCTTTTTGCGCTGGTTAAAAATAATCCTTTAGTAGCTCAAATGTTGACTTACTGAGCTATAAGTGGCAATTTACACCTTAAAGAAACGAGTGTAAATCATTCGCAGCTCTAATTGCTGTAAGTTTACGAAAGAGCTGCTGGCTTGGTTTAATCTGAAGCATTTTCATTCAAATTGTCATCGGAACAAACACCAGGCTTCTTAAATCCCGCTGTAATTAGCTTTCAAGTATCCTATTAAACCTCTTCACCTTTTGGGCTATCCAATTCAAAAAGCTCCCTTTTAAAAATATATATGTGTCTTGCTCTTTTAATTGAGGTTATTAAAGAAATCAAGTTTCTTCCCCCACCCCCCCCTCAATCCTCTTTTCTTTTCTCCCCCTCCCCCCCCCCCCCGCCCCTTGCACCCGCTTTAGGCTGGTGATCCCCGCTCTGTCGTGATTGACGTCTAGAAGGAAAATGCTTTGTGCTGGGATGATTGTTATTAACTTGTTACCCCCGGCAGGGGGGCGGGAACCGACTTGCTCCGGTGAGCGCTAGGGACCCGCGGCCCCGAGAGCGCCGCAGCACGCCGGGCGAGCCCTCAGCGCTGCGGTGGCCGCCTTGCCGCGCGCTCGGGCTGCGCCGCCGCGGCCGGAGGCTGACAAGGGAAGCTGCGCTCCCGCCCGTTTGCCCGCGGCGCCGGGGCCCTGGAGCCCTGACGGCTGCACGCGCGACCCGGCGCGCTGGGGGCCTTCATTAGCCGGCTCCGCGTGCCAGAAGCCGAGGCACGGGGCTGAGCGTGCCGGCTCTGAAGTTCTGCCCTCCGTTTTTCCCCATTTTCCCCTCCTCCCACCCCGCAGTGCCAGGGGCTCATGTCGGAGGAGTGCGGGCGGATTGCAGCCCTGGCGGCCGCGAGGACTCGAAAAGGCGCCGGGGAAGAGGGACTGGTGAGTGGGGAGGGACACGGCTGTTGGCAAGACTGGACGTGTGGAGGCGGCCCAGGACGAAGGGCCGCTGTCCCCGCGCTCCTTCCTGGGCCCAGCTGGTCCCTCGGGGAGCGGGTGGAAAGAGGGCCTGGGGCAGGGCGTGGTGCAAAGCTGAGCTGGCGGGACGGGCTGGGCCGAGCTGTAAGGCTCCCTGGGTCCTTGAGGTCAGGGGTCGACAGCCCCAGCGGGCGCTTGGCGGGAGCTTGGAGCCCGGGGAGAGAGCGGGGAGCAAGACCTCACGAACTGGGGGTGGCCCGAGGAAAAGGAGGGGAAGGGGTGGGGGAGGCCGGGCGGTTCTGTGGGATGAGGAGAGGAGGAGGGGTCTAGAACCGCCTGCGACTGCGCCTCTCGGCTTCCTTCAGGTGAGCCCCGAGGGAGCGGGGGACGAGGATTCGTGCTCCTCCTCGGCCCCGCTGTCCCCGTCGTCCTCGCCCCGGTCCATGGCCTCGGGCTCTGTCTGCCCCCCCGGCAAGTGTGTGTGTAACAGCTGCGGCCTGGAGATCGTGGACAAGTACCTTCTCAAGGTAGGGTGGAACCGCGAGGCCCAAGGGGAGCGGGATTACCGGAGAACTTTGGGAAAAGAGAAAAGTTCCCCCCCCGCTTTTTCCTTTCAAGTTTTCAGGCAGGTTGTAGGCTTTCTCAGCAAAACAGCCCAGTCCAGGGTAAGTCGAAAGAGTGGGAGAAGAAATCACAGAATCTCCCACGTTGTTGCAAAACAGCTTGTGTATATGACCCGTCGTGGTCTAGAAGAGCCGATACCCCGGGGTGGTTGTACAAGAGTCAACCACCGACTTGTAGAGAAGCAAAAGTGGGTTAATCCTTTTACTCATTTTGGAACAGGGTCCTGCGTGATTATTTTTACCGAGCCTGGGTAATGGTCCCTTCGCCCCCAATAACACCCCTACACCTGCCTGCTTCTAAGAGTTCCTGGTCAGTATATGTTGGCTGATTCCCCTTTGTGGTGTCTCCTTTGGTAAGGACCACTGTAAAGTACCTTAAAGGATCTTTTCCGGACAGAATTTTTACATAGTTTTATGTTTAGTAACAGTCGCCTGAGGCTTTTCCAAAGTAAAAGTTTGTAGGACCATGTACATAAAAAACCATTTTCAGTACCTCCTTCCTCTTACTAATATTTGAAGGCCACCCAATGCTTATTTAATGTCCCCTCCAGTGCTTGTGAAAAAAATGGAAATCCATATAAAGTTAGACCCTCCCACCCCCCCCCCCCCCCCAAAAAAAGAAGGAAGGCAGGAGAGAAAGAAGGCAGGAAGGGAAGCAAAAAGAAAGAAGAAAGATAGATGGATGCCTGGGGTGAAGTGCTAGTTTGAGAATTGACTGTCTTAATTTGTTTCACTTCTTTCAAAATACTGTGTGGGAATTTTGGAGTAGAAATTCTGGCAGGCCACAGTTAACCATGTCACTGAGTGCAGGGTCATGGTCCCATGTGTCTTAATCCTAATACCTTGAGTTTTCAACTTCAACAGCTCTTTAAAACCACTATTTAAAATAATGATCTCTCCTACACTGAATTAGTAGCAAACCAGTACACTTTCTATTCCCTCCTCATCAATCTCCCCACCCCCACCCCCCACCCCCATTTTTTCAGAAGGATTAATTATGGAGAGCATGAATTCAAAAAGCAAGTTATTGGGCTTCTTTAAATTTAAATTTCTACCTCAATGTATAAAGCTGTTTAATCTGTAAAGTGGGAATAATACCTTATAGATACAACCCAGATTAAGCACCAAAAGAAGTTTTGGTGAAAAATTGAAAAGTAACTAAATTAATTTTAATTGGGGATTGAGTCTTAAAGCTGGCCAATTAACATGGCTCTCTCTTTAAATCTACGTTTTTAAGATACCCTGTTTCTAGACCTGAGCTTTTTTGGATATCTCAAAATCATCTTTTGGATCAAAACTAGTTTGTTATTTTCAATGAGGTCTCTCAATAATTAATCTTTAAGAATGTTTCTAAATGGGTCTATAAAGCCTTTAGCACTTCATACCAGAGAGGATTTAGAAAAAAGTCATTATAAAATGACAACACACGTCTGAAGTAGATATTGTTTCTAGTATTCACTTTTATATGTTAAGAATATATTTGTATATTTATTTATATAAAATGCCTAAGTTATCCAAATAACTTATATAAAGCTATTTGTTGTAGGACTGTTGTCCTCCCAGTGAAGTCTTCTGTGTACAGTCTTATTCTATCCCTTTTTTGTACATATTAGTATGTTAGTATATTAGCTCGGACTAAAGTTTGACATTATATGATTATATAAAAATTGAGTTGTTTTTTTTTCATTTGAGTGATTCTAAAAGAGAAGTTTAAATTCAATTTGAGTCACTGGTGAAAAATAATTGATAGACCTAGTAGAGTATTTGAGGGTACAACTGTTTAATATAGAAAATATAGAAACCATTTAATATAGAAAAACATCATCTCATGAGGCAAGTAAAATTGAGTTAAAGTAGGAGAGGAATTAGATGTGTCTTTTGCCTCATCTAATATTTCAGTGCCCTGTTTGGATGGTTTATCTGGCTTGGTCCCATATACATATACAAATTGGATCAATAACAGCCATCAGGAAAGGTCTGTATTCTCTAGAATTTTCTCTCTACCTTACTTTCCTCCCTGGAAAAGAAATGGAAGATGAACATTCTTTTCCTTGTAAAGTAAACTTTAAGAAAAGGTGACAAACCAGGCATTAGGTTTGGTTTTAGGGAGGTAGAAGATAGCCATGACTCTTCTCTGAATCCTGAATCTATACTTGCTTGGAGAGAGGAAAAAGAAGAGCCTGGATAAGATCAAAATGTAGAAGTCCCTATGCATTGGAATGCTAAAGGAAGCCTGTATTTTTAAACTTTAATTGTCCCATGTTAGGAAAAAATAGAAGGAAAATACATATTTATTTCTAGGATACTATTAACCATTGTTAATATTTTTTATTCTGATTTCCTTTGTTTCTTCCAAGTTTTCCTATGTAGTAAGCAAAACTTAAAATTTAAAAAATTTCACCAAAATGATACTCTTCATTAATGTTTTGGAAAGAGGCCTATAACTGCAATTAGAAGCAAGTGAAACTTTCCCTTCAGCTTCAAAGTACCTTTCATATTTTGTATCACAAACATTTTGAAAAAACATTTTTGAACAGTAGTGCTAATGTGATAGAATCATTGGACAGATAGGGCTTTTGCTACACTTTCATAATAAAGGCTATTTCACAATTTCCCCTTTTCACAATTTCCTAATTACTATTTTAGACATTAGATCCATTTGTAGGGTGTTTTTGCATCGTTGCTGTTCTTTTATATGAAATGAAATTATGCTTAACTGGTTAAACATAAACTCAATTCTTGTGTCCATTTAACAAGAGCAAACGTTGGGAGCCTGTGTTATAAGCAAGTTCAATCCAATACACATCTTCATTTTTGAAGGCTGAAGTTGTGGTGTTTATAGTATTATGGCAACAGTTTAAGGTGAGGGTTATTATGATTTGTTCCCTGAATTGACAATATTTCGTGTTCATATATTTAGAAAATATAAAGTGGTGTGATTTATTAGACACATTTTATGCCTTATTACTAGGAATATAAATGGCAAACAGTGCTTGGGTGCCTTTTTAGAACCACTTATAATCAGATTAATTTTTTTCTCCAGTAGCCAAATCATTAGTTAGGATTCCAATAATATACTCCTTGATTCTATAATTTAATGTTAGAAGGTAGCCATATCAACATTTAAATCTACCTTAGCAATTTCTGTTTGGTAAGGGAAATGGATTGCCTGGCTTCTTTATAAGGGTAAGTATTTTACAAAGCTTCTTTTTCACTTTCTTTCTCTCTCACTTCAACTAGTGTAACATTTATAATTGTTTGGCCAAAAAATAGATTGAGAAGGTATGTGGCTTGACTTCTTTAGCTACCAGGTTTCCTGGTGGGAAGAATTTGGTGAAAGAAAAAACAAGCCTGTATATAGGACTCTAAAGTGACCGAAATTTTCCATATTCATAGAAGTTCGATTTTAAAAAGAAAAAAAGCACACACCCTGAATTCTTCAAAGGAATAAACAATTTAACACACAGTGTAAAATATGCTATTGTGATTTTCCTGGTTCGGGTCTGAAAGGGAATATATCTAGACACATATTTGTGTAAATTACACCTTTTAGATAGAAACGTTCAGCGCATATGTTAAAATATTAAGGAGCCAGTTTTTAAAATTGCTTAGCACACAAAACCAATGAACGATACTGTGAGTGCGGTATTACAATTGCTTCTTTTCCTTTACAGGTGAATGACCTGTGCTGGCATGTTCGGTGTCTCTCCTGCAGTGTCTGTAGGACCTCCTTAGGAAGGCATACCAGCTGTTATATTAAAGACAAAGACATTTTCTGCAAACTTGATTATTTCAGGTACACTGTGGAACATTTTTTAGTAGACACTCCAAGATAATATGCTAAGAGAATTTTGTAAACAAGCTTCCTTGTCCAGTTTTATGTATGGAAACCCAGTTTTTCTTATATAATGGATTTCAAAATGAGAATGCTTCACATTTTTGAGGTATAACTTATATCAAAACAAATACAATAAGCATGTTTATGTGTTTTAGGAATTCAGTATACAAAAACTAATTTAAAATAATTATTTCCTCTTTGGGAATGAAAGGTTTAGATATTAAAAACAGGGAAACTTCTTGCTGTGCACAAAGAAAGGTTTAGATATTAAAAACAGGGAAACTTCTCGCTGTGCATAGGTGTAAAATATAAGATGACTTATTGTGACAAAGTCCATTATTTGCAGGGGATGCTAAGATGAAATGAAATAATTGTGGGAAAAATCAAGGTTTTGTTAAGTGTTTACCAGTTTACTATAGAATGATCCGTAGTTATACCTACAAAATGTCAGCAGTTTGGAGAATGTGTTAAACGATATAATTTAGAGGATTCCAGTATCAGAAATACACCAAGTCTGATTATTCTATCTAAAAATACTGTTTCTTTTTTGTCTGTTCTTTGATCTTTGTTTTGTGAGATTGTATTTGCCCAAGATATTAAATGTAACATCTTTTCTGCGATCTCTCTATAAATTGTTTAAATGCACAGTTTCTTCTAGGATATAATTCTTAATGGATAGCTGTCTAGAAATTGAAATTATTCCTAAGCATGACTTTTAAAATTACCATATTTTTTTCTTTATTTGAATTTCCAAATGAAGAAAAATGTTCACCGTGAAATTGGGAAATTAATACTATATAATGAAGTTTGTTATACTAATTATGTTGTTTATACTCAGTTTCAAAAACTGGTTTCAGAGAGTTTAGTGATTGATTTTAATAAAATTGCTAATTAAAAGCACTTCATAAAACCCAGATCCTTTATTTTATAAAGTCACAGAATTTTATAATTACCAAAAACATATATTTCTCATCAGGTTTACTCTCCATTTCTTCAAAAATGATAGCAATTTGCCTCCTTTTTGATTTAAGATATGCAAATATTGATGTTTTTATGATAATTTAAAACTTTTTGAAAGGTTTAGTTTCAGCAAGTTATTGAAAGTCTAGTTCTTCAGGATTTTTTTATACTTCATATTATATTCCGAAATTTAGTTTTAGGATTCACTTTTTCAGATTAACTTAAACAAAACTGGCAATACCTCTAAAGATATGCTAATGAATAGAAACAGATGCATATCTAGTTTGATGTGGATATGCAAGGCCATGACTGTGATTATGATAGGAGACATAGCAAAGAATGTCCAGTTACTCAGACCAGGAGAAAAAAAAAATATTTACATCTGACATTTTGTTACAGTTAACCTGCATTTAATGTCCAGGTTGGTCTCTGAAAGTTTTAGATAATGTATCTCCCCCTCCTGTGACTAGCAATGAAATAGCTTATTCACCAATGGAAACATATCTGAGTTTTCATTCCTCACTCTCAGGGTGAACAGTTTCTGTTCTTTGATAATATCAATTGTAATGTTTAAATATTTTAACTTAAAAAATGATATTTAAAACATTTTTTAATTATCTCAATTTGGTTTTAAGAAGTCATTATATTTTTACTGTAATCTTTTGCACTTTCAGGTTTCAATCTGGAGTATATGTGTGTTTGTATCTTGAATCTCTAGGTAATTTATAAATGTGTTGATATTTGTTACAAAAGGGATATTGAAATTCATATTGCATTTATTTAAAAAAAAATCCAGTCTTCCTTTAAAGTAACAATGAGAAGTTTTTGTTTTATAAACAGATTTGAACTGTGGCCCTATCTTAAGTCTTGATTGCTTACCATATTGACTTTTAGAAAAATAATTGATGCCTGTTTCATTTTCAAAAGATGTAAATACTTAGGTTAATGCAATGAGTAATATAATGTATTAGTTTACTCAGGCTGATGAATATCTCACCAAATATTAAAATCTTCACCTCCTGCTCTTCTATTTATGTAGAAGGTATGGAACTCGCTGCTCTCGTTGTGGGAGGCATATCCATTCTACTGACTGGGTCCGGAGGGCCAAGGGGAATGTCTATCACTTGGCATGCTTTGCCTGCTTTTCTTGCAAAAGGCAACTTTCCACGGGAGAGGAGTTTGCTTTGGTGGAAGAGAAAGTCCTCTGCAGAGTGCATTATGACTGTATGCTGGATAATTTAAAAAGAGAAGTGGAAAATGGTAAATATATACTTAAAATACTTTGGAGTCTTTTGGGACAATGAATACAGGGAATAAAAACGATTTTTCCTTAGGTCATTTTAATGCATTATTTTGTGCAGTGTAATTGTGGTAAAACTCATTAAGCATTCTACTGTTAGTGATGATCTCCATGTGTTTATATGCAGGAAAAGCCATGGCATGTGTATTAGCCTTGTACCATATTCTCAGGCAGCAGCCTTGAATTTAAGGCTGTGTTTTGCTTTTTGTAACCAGTTGTTTTCCTGTATTTGCCTTCTTAGGATGAACCTTAGATGTATGCTCTTCTAATTTTTGGCACTTTTGAGTAAATAGACAAGCCTATGTATTGTTTCCACAGAATATTTCTAGTGCGTTTTAAAACTTAACTGACAGATTTGGGCAATCTACAATTTCACACGAAGCCAAGAGATACAAGAAACATATTATTACTTGATCAGCGGACCCATTTGAGTTACCAACATGTATGCTGTTGTTTTTCAAATGCAGGCAATGGGATTAGCGTTGAAGGTGCCCTCCTCACAGAGCAAGATGTTAATCATCCAAAACCAGCAAAAAGAGCTCGGACCAGCTTTACAGCAGATCAGCTCCAGGTAGACATGACAATGAATTTATGATTTTTGAAGTCCCTCCTGACCAAAACAAACAACACACAAAAAATCCCCCAACTTCCCTGCCCCTTCCCCAAAACACCCAAAACAATTTCATGCTGCTTAAGAACATTTTCATGTTTTCAAAAAAGTTAGCCTGTGCTTTTAATGAATTCTAACTTGGTGAATGTATGAAAACATACTTATAGCTCTAAAATGTTTGTCAGTATTTCCAGAGTCATGACCTGGTATGAACTAGTCATTCAAGCTTTATTTCCCCGGGTTTTATTGGTATTAATGTCAAAGTGCAAACAAAATATTGATCAGTCCTGACTTCCTGATAAAATCAGTTTAACCAAGGCATTATTACTACCTATAATGGGGATAGAAGACAAAATATTTTAAGACTATTAACAGAAAGAGACATACAGTATGTGGGCTTATGGGATACTAATGTGTTCACCTTTTTAACAAATTACAACGAGCCTCTTAATGGCTAAGTTTGTATAATTTTCTGAATAGGAAAGAATTGAATATGCCTTACCATAAACAACAGGAATCTAGTTATTGACTCCACAACCAAGTAAACCTTTTCTTGCTTTTAAAAGGGCTAGAGGGAGCTAATTCTATAGTTTGATGCTGAAGGTTGATTATGTCCCCTGAAAAAGGAGGGATTATTTCAGTTTAGTTGCCCTAAATATAATTGTTATAAGTTCAACTCATGTCAGTTGTCAAAAAAAATAATTACTCCTTGCTTTATCTTTAAGTCTACACATATAATGATTCTTTCTGACATTTTTTCAGATAAAGAAATCACGTTTTCTAAAAGATTAATGTGGATGAGGTATTTGTTTTATGGTAAGGTAAAGTAACATTTATTGAGCGCCTACCATGTACTACTGGGTGCTTTACACATAGGATGTATCTTAGCTCAAACTTTAAAGGACATTTATACAATGTTAGCAATTGAGTAAAAGTAATATTCTGAAAATCACATATAGTATCTGAGACTTGCCAGTGTTTAAGGTAAATACAGTAAAAGGGTTTTAAGAGAGAATTTTTACTTGAGGGAATGATTAAGAAAGAAACCTTAATGTGATACAAATATTTCAAGGGAACTTAGATCACATAAAGCCCTAAATTAGGAGATATGAATACCTGTGGGAGACCTGGGAGCAAAATACTAGTAGCTAAAAGATGTCTGAGTTAAAATAGAATTTCTAGTATAAATATATTGTTTTTAAAATGGGCTGTTTCCATGAAGGGCTGGCTGTAGTTTTAATAATCATAAGGCTGACAGTAAAAGTTTATGAGAAATTAAAGTTATTAAAATTATAATAGTGAAAACTTGAAACAACTTTAGGTAGATATACAATTTTATATAGGAAGATAGTTACAGGTACTAATTAAAGAGGGAATAATATTTGTGAAAGTTTGTGTGTGTCGAGTCCTATGCTAGGCACTTATCTACATTCTCTCCTTTAATTCTTAACAATAATTCCTTGATGTAGGTAGCCTCATCCAAGAGGTGCATCCCCTCAAGGCAGACTACCAAGGGAATAGCAGAGAAGAGATTTGGAAACTTCCCCAATCCTCTGGTGTTTTCATTTTGCTTGGCCACCAGATCCTGAGTGGAATAAAAGCTCCACTTAATGGCAGCAGCAGCTAAAACAAGAGTGAGATTCCAAATCTTGCATAAGTTTTTAAAGATATATATTGTAACCATAGGTTTTAAAAAATGAAAATAGAAAGAAATGAAAATAGAAGCGATATGCCTTCAAAGCATGTACTCATTTTTTTCAGTACTTCTTGGTGTCTGCCTTATGCCAGGGATGGCTAAAACAGATGAGACGCAATCTTTGTCCTCAAGTGGTTCTTTATACCTGAGGAATCTGGAAAACATAGCTGTAAATTTTTTAAAAACTTAAATCATTATTTTTTTTTAAAGATTTTATTTATTTATTTGAGACAGAGAGAATGAGAGAGAGCACATGAGAGGGGGGAGGGTCAGAGGGAGAAGCAGACTCCCCGCTGAGCGGGGAGCCCGATGCGGGACTCGATCCAGGGACTCCAGGATCATGACCTGAGCCGCAGGCAGTCGCTCAACCAACTGAGCCACCCAGGCGCCCTAAATCATTATATTTTGCTACAACCTCTGATCAGACAGTGTACCCTCATTGTCAAATTGTCCTTTCAGAAAACTGAATATATTCAAATCGTGCTTGAATTCAGCAGAATAACAAAATATTACAGGTGATCAATAAGTCAAGACTCTTCATGAAGTACTGCTTCGGACAGAGGAGAGTTAACATGGGAAGAATAAACATGATAATTTCCCAAAATTATTTAGAAATTTACGGGAAGAAAGGCTCACAACAGAATAACATTTTGTGTTGGCAAGAATATTTCAAATATGGTCCCGTTTGTAGAAATGGTATTTAAGGAGTTCCTGCCAGTGTTGTGGTTTGCATATTGTAGGTGGAAGCTCTTGCTCCATGATTATGAATATAAAACATGCCAAGGTTAGCACCTATTTTAATCCACTTTCAGATTGACTTGGTCAGCTGCTACTATGTAGATACCCGTCATTTCTGGGATTTCCTGGCCTTAAAATGATGTCTACAAAGGCTCACTCCTTGACCATGTTAAAAAGACCTCAGAAAAGAAGTGGGGTGGGTTTCAACATCATTAGTGACTGAAGAACAATGAAATTAAGTAGAAATTAAAAGGCTTTTTGTGTGTGAGAGAGAGATTAAACATTGATAAGCACATCTTACTTTCCCTTTAGCATATACTGATTCTAAACCATCAGTGTTCATTTAAGTTTTGCTTTATTCCTTGATGAGAAATTGCTTTATTAAGTATAACTTGGTTTCATTATTAAACTTGTGAATTTGAAATGCCTTTGTGAAAAAGCATGCTGTTTTTTTGTTTTATAAATTATCAATAATGGCCTAACAAGCAAATCCTTAAATATCTGTTTAGCTTTTCCTCTTGAAAAATTAAAAAAACAAAGACCATTAATTTGCTCATTCTTTTTTCTCTTTGGGATATTACATGCTCAACTACATATGAACACAACCATTTGTACATGACAATATTGAAGTAACACATTTGGAATAAGAAAGGAAGAATGAGGTGAACTGAGTGAAATTATAAACTTTTAGGTCAGTTTTGCCCATTTTTAAAAGTAAAAATACATGCTGTTTACAGTGAGTGTATGAACAAATATGGTTGGACAGGAAGCCAGGAATACCTTATTCTAGGAGTCACTAAACAGAACTGAAAAAATTATATAATTTGTAAACTTTGTAAGGTTTCCTGGAACAACATTGGTCTTTTTCTCCATACTATCTTCAACTTTTCCTCACATTGTCAGGGTTCATTGTGTTACAAACCCTTAAGCACATACTGTGTGATGGGAAATGGTATTAGTTCCTGGGGGTATGAAGAATAAGACATTCCCTTTGCCCTCAAGAAGCTTACTTCGCTATGGAGAGCTAGACTTGCCAGTGAATTAATTAGCTGCCTTGTGATGTGTGCAGTGGCAGAAGTCTGTATTAGATGAGGAACATAGTGGAGAATGCAATTAATTTTGCCTATGGAAAATGGTGTTCAGGCCAGTGGTGGCTAAGGTCTTTAGGGAGGTTGGTTATCCCCATCTCACACCCATAGACATGTACAGTTATGTTGGATGACAGACTCCCTCTCCCATTTTTCATAATCCTTTATATTTTATACTACTTTCCTCAGTTGATTGACTTTTAAGTAATAAAATTCAAATATTCCCTCTTGAGTCCCATGATTTCCTCTTCAGAAAGAATCCAAAGCCCTTGGCTTATGCTTTATTCTGGTACTCCCTCCCGCTCTATGCTTCTCCCCTTACCTTGTGTTGTAGTTATTGGCATGTCCATATCTTTGTCTCAAAAGGTGAGACCAGGGACAGTTTTTTCATGTGTCATTGTCACAGACAGTGTCACTGTCTCATGGCACTTAGCACAGTGATTCTAATCCAAAGGTTCATATCAAATCACCTGAGAGCTTTTTTAATATACAGATGTTTAGATTCCAGGAAATTCCTATTCACTGGGCTGATTGATATCTTTTTTTTAAGATCCCTGATATTGTTTTGCATGGAGCAAGTGCTCAAAACAATTAATGTTGGAGTATGGAATCCATCTGTTGCACTGTATACAATTGCTGACTGATTAAAAAATTGCAGTAAGAGCCTATTTAGCTTAGTAGAGGTTGGAGATAAGTTTGATAGGATTTTTGTATTTTTAAAAGTTTTCTAATGCAAGAAATTTTTAACAAAATGGGAGAAATGGTAAATAGACATACCATTTATTCATTTCATTTGTAGAAGAATGGAAGAACAAAGGTGAGCTCATTTTTAGCAGCATAGTTGAGAGACGAGTTTTATGTTGAAATGAATTATTTTTTTTAAAGATCTCATTGTAGCGACTTGTTTGTAAATTTACAGCATATGCTTTCTTTTCGTTTATACTCATTCACCCATATTGATTTTCAAGTAATAAAATACAAGTATCTTACTTTCTTGTGCATGTCTTATCTCTCCTGTCATCAAAATGCAGAAGATTGAGTTTCTTATATTTAGCTATTTACTACCTTTATTTTTTATTTTTAAAAAAAAAAAACAGGTTATGCAAGCACAGTTTGCTCAGGACAACAACCCAGATGCACAGACCCTCCAGAAACTGGCAGAAAGGACAGGCTTGAGCAGACGTGTGATACAGGTGATTATTTTAAAGGTTAATCAAGAGATACTAAAAGGTCTATTCTAGGTCTTTATGAATGTGCTGTGTGTGTGTGTGTGTGTGTGTGTGTGTGTGTGTGTGTGTGTGTGTGAGAAATATCAAAGCATTAGCTTCCCATTTTAGGTTTACGCCAACAGTTTTTTTTAAACCTGATAATTAGTTTGCTTGGGCTGGGCTATCAATTGTTAAACAACTTTGTGTACAAGTTACTTCATTCAGTGCTCACAGCAACCCTAAGATCCTCAACCTGAAAAAAACTGTAGTTCCAAGCTAGATCTGGTTCTGAAGCCAGTAATTTTTCTCCACTTTTCTGTGAGTCTGTGTGTGTCTGTGTGTGTGTGTGTGAAGGGGGACTTGATGACCTTTGTTAAAGATCCAGGTAGAGGAAGTGGTGTGAACAAAACTAGGGAAGGATGAATTAGAGCAAATTCACTGAAGTGTTAGTTTTATATCTGCAAATTGTGAGAGATGAAATTGTTGGAGCTGAGCTTATAGGGGCCTGTGATTATAGAGTTCTGTCCTGAGCAGGAGAAAGCCATGGTAGCTGGTGGCAGCAAATGGCAAGAATTAGGGTTGGAAAAGCTAGATTAGAGATATACAGATTAGTTGGGATACCCAGCAAGGTAGTGATTTTTTTTAAGAGACTTAAATGGGGTAGTGACCTCAAATTCATTGGGAAACATTTTATTGCATGTGTGCTGGTGGCAGAGAGACAGGAAAAGGACCTGGACACTATAATGGGGAAGGAGAGAGAAGTGAAGGATGACTCTTAAATTTGAAATCAGAGTATCCATAGGAATAGTGCTATTGACAGGAATATTCAAGTCAAAGAAAGATGATTTGTAATTGGGAAGGAGATGAATTTCCTTTTAGCTCTGCCAATCATACAGTGATGGTGGCAGTTGGGCGTATAAACAGGTATTTTAAAAGATGAACAGGACTCAAACAAAAAGATCCAATGCCATGAAATTGGGTAAGATCCTTTAGAACAAGATCATAGACAGTAAAAAGAGAAGAATGAACTTTAGGGAGAGGGGAGGGTAAGTGGTGCTATTTGAAAGGGACATAGTAACAGCCAGGATCAAGGAATGAGTCTGGTAGAAAAGCATCATGGAAGCCAAAGGGATGTGTTCAAGGTGGAGCTGGCCAACTGTGTCAAGATCTTATAGAGAAATCAGGGAAATAGAAAATAATTTTAAATAACATTCAAGGTTCAAAAAAGTTTACAGAATTAATGCGAGTAACCATAACCAGCAAGATGAAATTTAGTTGGGGGTTTGGGGGGAGGTAAAATCCAATGTTGTATATATGTTTTATTTTTTAAATTGGGTGGCTGATATTTCTTTTCTTCTTTTTTTTAAGATTTTATTTCTTTATTTGACAGAGAGAGACACAGCGAGAGAGGGAACACAAGCAGGGGGAGTGGGAGAGGGAGAAGCAGGCCTCCCGCGGAGCAGGGAGCCCGATGCGGGGCTCGATCCCAGGACCCTGGGATCATGACCTGAGCCGAAGGCAGACGCTTAACGACTGAGCCACCCAGGCACCCCTGGTGGCTGATATTTCTTAAATAGGGTGCTCATTCTTCAATCTATTATTATTAAGCCTGAGGCATTTCATAATTAAATCATCTATACAAAGAAGCTGATGGGGAAGAACCTGATGGTACTGCAGCTTCTCTAAAGACTTAGATTCCCAGTAGATTTGTCCGACTGCAGTGTAATGAGGTTCTCTGAGGAGTTGGGTCATATGACCTCAGTGCTTTTCAAATGTCCAGGGTATTGTGTTTATTTCAGAGTGCCAAATTTTATTTTTTTTAAGATTTTATTTATTTGACAGAGAGAGACACAGTGAGAGAGGGAACACAAGCAGGGGGAGTGGGAGAGGGAGAAGCAGGCTTCCCACGGAGCAGGGAGCCCGATGCGGGACTCAATCCCAGGACCCTGGGATCAGGACCCGAGTCGAAGGCAGACGCTTAACGACTGAGCCACCCAGGCACCCCTGGAGTGCCACATTTTAAAAAGGGGTCTAACAAGAAACCAATCTGAGTCAGGCTAATAAGGTCATGAAAGAATTAGAAATCATGGGCTAATATATTAACAGCAACAGGAATATTTGGAGATGAGATAGTAAGAGAAGGAATAGTATAAACAGAGTAAGTATCTTTAAATATATGTGGAAGGCTGTCCTGCAGATAGCAGAATCAGGTCTTTGGGAATGAAGGAAAAGGCAGATTTCACTCATGATGAAGAACTTTCTCAGCATGAAAGTCTACAAAAATGACATGGGCTGCCATTGGAGGTAGTGAGTTTCCTGAGCCTGGAAATGGAGCTTCCTTTGTTGAGGTGGTACAGACTGAATGGGCTGAGGGTTCCTTCTAATCTAAGAGTCTTATACGTTCAATGACAATGACTGCTCTAGCTAAGTCAATTCATGACTATGATGTTTGAGATTATTTTGAAGCTTGAAGTAAAGGAAAATGAAGGATTTTCCGGGAGCTTTTCTTATTATTTGAAGAAATAAGGACCCCAGACAATGTCACAAAATTTCCAAATATTTAGGTTACCAGTATTGTGGGCAAGTTATCTTGATTCCAAGTACTAGAACTTGGAGAATATATTGTTGGATGGTGGTTTTTAATATGTGAGAATTGAATTTAAGTATTTTTGAGAGGATAGCAAAGGAAGGAGTACTAGCATGCAAATATATATATTATTTGTCTATATATACATTTACTTTATTTCCAAATTTTCATTATCCTAAAAGTGCTGTAATGAATAACACTGTATGTACACCTTGCTCACTTGTTCCTTAGTTTCCATATGATAAATTTCTAGAAGTGGGGTTGTTGAGTCAAAAGATAAAACATTTTTAGGGTCTTTAACTGATTAACTGATAGTACAAAAATCACCTTCCAGAAAGTTCATACCAGTTTATTCTGCCAGGAGCTAGATATGCAAGTTTCCTTTTACCAACCCATGCAAATCCTGAATACTGTCATTCTTTTACATCCCTTCCAGTTTGGTAGGAAATCATTTTTATTTATATTTCTTTGATTATCAATGACCTTTAACATGTTTGCTTATTTTGTAATTTTAGAAATTGTATGTTTTTAGTCCACTTTGCTATTGGGTGGTTCCATTTCTCTCCATCTTACTGATTTTTATTCTTTTTATCATGTTAAACTTCCATAGTTCATCAGTTTCTTTTCATTTATTTTCTCCACATAGAACTTATATATGTATATTTTAAATACTTTATTTTAAAGAAAGAGTGAGCATGATTGGAGGGAGGAGCAGAAGGGAAGGGAGAGGGAGGGGGAAAGAATCTCAAGCAGACTTCTCCCTGAGCATGGGGTTCCATGTGGGGGTCGATCTAACCACCCTGAGATCATGACCTGAGCCGAAACCAAGATTCAAATGCTTAAGTGACTGAACCACCCAGGCACCCCAGAACTTTTATATTTTTATGTATTCAAATCTCTCAATATTTTTTTCTTTTAGCTTTGGCCCTTTTTATGCTTCTTCACCTAGAGAGTATATCAGTATTGACTGTTGTTTCCCCTAAATGTTTATGGTTCCAATTATTTACGTCTAATTTTTAATTTATCTGGAATTAACTTTTGGTTATTAGGTAGGGATTTTACCATTTTTTTCCTCACAAATGATTAGCCAAGTTTCTCTAAATCAGTATTATGCCATGCTTTCCCAATAATTTAAAATTCCATCTTTTTTATACGTAAAAGTCTGATATTTGGCTCTTTGGGCTTTCTCAGAGATCCATCTTATGGATTAGTCTTTTCTTTTTCAGAATGTCTACATAGCCTGCTCTTAGCTTATATAGTTTACAGTTTAGAACTCAAAAAATTTTAAAGTGTGTTGCTCGGAAAAAATTTTAACTCTTCTTGGAGGTTTGCAAAACAAATTTTAAGACAGTGAGGAGGGTCAAAATGACTTGTATTTGAATTCTGAAGTTGGGTGGCCCTCATGCCAGAAGTTATTTTCTGATGGTCTGGAATTGTCAACTATATTTTTCTGTGCAAGTTACATGACATTTGTGTTTATAAACCTCTCTCTACTTGACTGTCTGTTGATGATCTTTCCAAGGAGCTATTTGAATCAGCATTAAGGTAGTTTTTCTGCTGATATGTCGAGCCTTTTTCATAATATTTCCAAAGTCTGGATTTTTTTTTTTTTTAAACAACTGAGTAGGTTCCATCTAGTATATAATTTATTGGAGATGTAGGATACTTTGGAGAAACTTTGGGAACCATAGTGCCATGTCAGTTAGGTTATACGTAGCCCACTGGAATGTATGTTTTCTGGGTACTGTTGGGGAAAGCGCTGGTGGCTGTAGTTCTCTTTCACAAGTTGGAGAACACGTGAGGATATCTTCTTGACTGGGTGAATGACAGTAGTGACACCTATTATTAAGGAGCCTGTGGAGAGAACTGTGACTGAGGACCTTGGGTTCGGTCCCTGTGTAAGTGTCTAAGAGTCTAATACTCCCGAAATGGAGGAGAAGGCTATGACTCCCCACTCCTTTTCCTTGGTATATGCCTATGTCTTGTTCCTGAAACCCCTAGAGTTTGTACTTCGCCAGCTCTCTAATTTTGAGTCCCAAGGGCAGGATGTGTCTTTGAAATCAGGTCAGCTTTTTTGTATAAATCTTTTTGCGATTCCTTCTATTCTACATCATTCAGCCCTGATTCCCTTGTGCCATCAAATAACTTCCTACCAGCCTTGGGCGGGGGCTTATGCCCCTGATCTCTCCCCAGACTTCTTCCCTGACACTAAAATGTTATCTTTATTTCCTTAAACTTTTTATTCCTTCACTTCTCTTTCTCCTCATGACAGACTTATTTGGAGTGATGGCAAATAAGTGCTCTGATATTTTAATAGAGTAACACTTTATAGTCAAGTTTTATCTAACAGCAGGGAGTTAAAACACAGGCAGATTAATTACTGGGAGCATTCTGGGCAGCCTAGCCTCACTCATCCTGACCTGGATGCAAAACTATGCTTGCCTTGAATTTGTTTCCTTTATTTCTGTGATAGAGTAAACAAAAAGATGGTTATCTCTTTACATTTTGTGAACCGTTTCACCAGTGGATGTGTTTATATTTTATTCTGCTTAAGTATTACTCATTTTTTTCTTATTATAAGCCTGACCTTAACATGCTTCTTAGGGAATAGTCTGTGTATTCACTAAGAGAAATTGAACTCGGCAGGTTAAAATGTGATTGGAATAACTGAATCAAGAGGTTTGTAGAAAGCTTTAAGTTCTCAGTAGGGATTTTAGTCATTTGGAAAAGGATTTGAAATAAGTCCAGCAGGTGTCTAAGAATACATTTAGTTGGGTTTTTTTTATTGTCGTTGCTGTTAAGTTCTGATTTAAAGGGCTTTTTTTTCTGTTTTTCTTTTTGTCCCAAATGCCAGTAGTTAAAGCCAAGGAAACTTTTCCGAAATTCTTGAACTTCTTCCCTCCCTTTTTATTTTGGAAGATGCTAGTATAGTATAGAATTGGCTTTTAAGTAAATCACCAAATAGTTACTATATGAACAAAGAAAATGACCATTGATATTTATACAAATGTTTCTCTTCTGTCTATGGAACTGTTTAAAAAGCTTGTTTAGATTTATACCGTGCTTACATGGTAGAGAAATTGAGGATTCATTTCTTTGTAAACTGAGTTGATAATGTACTCAGAAGTTGACATGTGACGTACCTACATTGCTTTTCTCCTCCTTCAGGTGTGGTTTCAGAATTGTCGAGCACGACATAAGAAACACGTCAGTCCTAATCACTCCTCCTCTGCCCCAGTCACAGCAGTCCCTCCTTCCAGGCTGTCTCCACCCATGTTAGAAGAAATGGCTTATTCTGCCTATGTGCCCCAAGATGGGACGATGCTAACTGCGCTGCATAGTTACATGGATGGTAGGTATCCCAACCTTTAACAGCTGTTGACCAAGCACAATAACTGGTAACTGCTAATATTAGCTGATTGATAGGATTCATATTTTGAAATATTACCTCAGTCGTAGCTGAAAAATTGTGTGTGGGAGGTTGCAGTAGGGAGCAGAAATGTCCAAACATTCTTATTTCTGTGACTACATTTTAAGGGACAAGCTTAACACCCACTTCACAGCTAAAATACAAATATTGATAATGACTGTTAGTGCTTGATTTTTTACTTAGGAAAAAAATGTGTTTTGTTTTGTTTTCACCCGATATTTAAATAATTTATTTTCCTATGGTCAGAGAAAGTATTCACACTCAGAGTTTTATTTATTTAAATTCAATGAATTAACATACAGTGTATTATTAGTGTCAGAGGTAGAGTTCAGTGACTCATCAGTTGCATATAATACCTGGTGCCCGTTACACGTGTCCTCCTTAATGTCCATCACCCAGTTACCCCATTCCTCACCCAGCTCCCCTCCAGCAACCCTCAATTTGTTTCCTACAATTAAGACTCTCTTATGGTTTGTCTCCCTTTCTGATTTCGTCTTCTTTTATTTTTTCCTCCCTTCCCCTATGATCCTCTATTTTGTTTCTTAAATTCCACATGAGTGAGATCATACGATAATTGTCTGTCTCTGATTGACTTATTTCGCTTAGCATAATACCCTCTAGTTCCATCCACCTCATTGCAAATGGCACACTCAGAATTTTAGATCGGAGTTAGTATACTGAGTTTTATTAAACTTTTTTTATTGAAGCAAAACATACATATAGAAAAGTGCACACATAACAAGTATCCAGCTTGATGAATTATTAAAGTGAAAATATCCATGTAAATACCAGATGAAGTAGAACGTAATTAACACCCCAGAAACCTCTCTTATGTCCCCTTCCAATTATTATCCTCTTCTTCCAGAGTAACATGGCCTTGACTTCTAAAATCATGTTTTAGTTTTGCCTGTTTTTGAGCTTTATATAAACTGAACCGTATGGAATGTATTCGTGTGTATCTCACTTCTTTCAACTACGTTGTCCGTGAGATTCACTTGTATTTGTTGCAAGAATCAGTGATTTGTTTTATTGTTATATAGAATTCCACTGTGGGAATATACCACAATTTAACCATTTTATGGTTGATAAACATTTGTGTTTGAGCATGTTTAGGCTTTTATGAATATGCTGCTATGGACTTTATTTTACATGCCTTTCGATGTACATTAATTCATACTTCTGTTTGGTATGTACCTGGGAGTGGAACTTAGGGTCATAGGCTACCCATACACTCAACTTCAGCTGATTCTGCCAGTTTCCCATAGTGGTTGAACAGTTAACACTTGGACCAGCACTGTGTGGAGTTCAAGGTGCTCCACATCCTTGCCAGCACTTGGTATGGTGTGACTTCTTTTAACCAATTTGATGGTTGGGTAGTGCTCGTTATTTTAATTTGCTTTTCCCTCATGACTGATGAGACTAAGCATGTTTTCCCTGGGCATTTGTATATCCTTTTTTTTTTGCGAAGAGCCTATTCATGTCTTTTGTCTGTTGGTCTATTGGCTTGTCCATTTTGTTTTTTCCTTGATTTATCTTAATTCTTACTGTATTTTGCATATAAAAAGATTTTTGATGCTATCTCCTCCTATTCATTGGCTTGCCTTTTTCTACTCTCTCAAGGTTATGTTTTGTTGAGCACAAGTTCCTAATTTTAATGTAGTTCATTTCATCAGTTTTTTTCCTTCATGGACAGTGCTTTCTTTGTGACCTATTCAAGAAATTATTTCTCCTCAAAAATAGTGAACATATTCCTCTTATGTTATCTTCTTGAAACTTATCTGACCTTTGACATTTAGATTTACAGTCCATCTGGAATTGAATTTTGTATGTCGTATGAGATAGGAAGCAAAACTCTTTTGTTATATTGATAAAAATACCAATTTTCCAGCTGTTTTGTAGTGATACATTTCTCATAAATCAACTAATCATGTAATGTAGGTGTTAATTTCTGTACACTCTATTTTATTGGACTACTTATTTTCATATTTATACCTAATTGTTTTAATTATTCAAGTTCTACAATTCTTGATATCCAGTAGAAAAAGTCTTCCTACTTTGTTTTTATTTAGGTTTGTATTGCCTATTCTTGACCCTTGCATTTCCATAAATTTTACCAGCTTGTCAATTTCCACCAAAAAATAAATTGAAATTTTGATATAGTCTGTTAGATCACTTTGTAAGAAACTGCCATCTTAATAATATCATCTTCCATCCTATGAACTTTGCCTTTCTATTTATTTAGACCATCTTTAAGTACTTTTTTATATTCTAGAGTTTTTGGCTCAGTAATCTTGCACATCTAAGGTTCATTCACAAGTGTTTGTTTTAGTGCAGTTGTTAATGGTATTTCCTGTGTATGTGGAACTCTAGGTTGGCAGCTATTTTTTTTTCCGGCACTTTGAAGGTAAGGTAACATTGGCTTCTGGCTTTCATTGTTTCTATTGTTTAGGATATGGATAGTTAATCTGATGCTACTTATTGTTGAAATCAGCTATTGGTCTTATTCTTGCTCTATTGAAAGTAAATATTGTTTTATCCCAGCTTTTCTCTTTGTGTTTGGTTTTCAGTTTTATTATAATGATATGCTTCTTGAGTATGTAGTTTGATGTATTTCATTATGGAAAAGTCTCAGTTTTTGTCTCTTTAAATATTGTTTCTGCCCCTTATGAAAAAATTCCATATTTTCCGGCCTTTTGACCTTCCATGCTTTAGGTATTTTCTTTTGACCTATCTCCAGGTCACTAAGTCTCTAATATGGTTGTAAAACTTACCCACCGAGTTCTTAATTTCAGTTATTATATCTTCAGTTTTAGAATTTCCATTTCATTCTTTTATATAGTTTTCACTTTTATGCTGAAATCTTCTATTTTTGCCACTTTATTCCTTAATAAAATTGTTATATTAATTATTGTAATACTAAAGTTTATGTCTAATAACTCCAATATTTGGATCTCTTTGTTTTCAGTCATGTCTTCTTATTTCCCTTTTTATTTTTTATTGCACTTCAGATGTTGGGTTGGGTATCAAAAACTAGAAATAATTTGAAGCTCTGAATGGTCTCCACCAGAGAGGATTTGGTTTTGCCTCTGGCAGGAAGTTAAGCTGGGGTAAGATCAACTTAATCCAGCAGCATCAGTCCTCAGGAAGGCTGGTATATTTCTGGGTCACTACTTGGATTTAGCCTTTTGGGATTCCAGACAAAGCCTATGTTTTTTTGTGTTTGTTTCTGTTGTTTTAAACCAGACCTTCTCTTCAGTGGTCCCTGATCTTTCATGTTTGTTCTGCATCTCCCAGCCAAAGTCTAACTCCTACAAGTCTGCTCAAATTCTCAGCCTCTCAGACATCCCTTTTCTTTTAAAATTGTCACTAAATTTGGGGGGTAGGTGGTGGAAAGTAGCCTCATTTTATTTCCCTTCTCTTCTGGGACTTGCTTTGCAGCTTCTCATTATCTTGGTATCTTTCAGATGCCTTCCAACAGATTTTCAAAAATTTTGGCCAGCTTTCCTAGTTGCTCTCAGAGGGAGGTTTGGTTTGAAGCATCATAGACCTTGCTGAGAATGGAAACTTCATTTAAAGTTTTGGTTAAATAAAAAACCAGAGCCTGTACTGTTGTTGCTATTATACTAGCATTAAAATTGTGTATGTTCACATGAATGACTATAGTGTTGCCTGAGTCAAATGTGCTTTGATGCATGTTTAGGGAAGAGGTGGTTAAGTATTCATAAAGGAGAATTTGGGGGGGTCATCCTATAGACAGCTTTATATGGAAGCTAGCAGCATCTCTGCAGACAAAGCTTTTGTGTTTTCTAGCTGCAGGGTAAAGTGCAGTGAATGGGGTATGGATGGAGGACATTAAAGTGTCAAAAGCTTGTGGCCCCAAAACAGGTTTTGGGGGTAAACTATTCCTGGATTCTCATCTAATACTGTACTCACTCTGCTGAATAAGTTAATGCTTCTGCTGAGGTTAGTGGAATGAGTATAGCTTGGTGCCCTCAGCTATAATGAGTAATGAAAACGCATTGCCTTGGATTGTTTTTGTTTGTTTTTAAATCAGTTTTATTCAGCCTACAAAACTGATCCACAAATTTCTTTCTATTTTATAGCTCATTCACCAACAACTCTTGGACTCCAGCCCTTGTTACCCCATTCAATGACACAACTGCCAATAAGTCATACCTAATTCCTTTTTTCAGGGATAGAAATGATTAAGGATATAATCTTGTCATTTATTATGTATAAAATACCATTGAAAAGATATTAATGTTAATTTTTTATTTAACACTCAAAGCATTTTCAACATCACTTTGCTTAACCAGGTATGTATCTATAGTTGGCCTGCAAGACACTTTTATTGATTCTTCATTTTTTGTAAAATTTATGTTTACAAGAAGGAAACAGATCAAAACTTTTTTTTGTATTGTCTGGAAATAGTTCACTCTAGTGTGTATCTGTTAATTTATTTGTCATCAAAAGAGCACTTTGCCTAAAAGAAAGGACTGACAAGTGTGCAAAATGTTTACAATCCTTTGTGAAATTGTAGTTTATCATTAGTTTGTATCTGTAAGTTATTGTTATAAATAATACCTGTATTTTTTGTTATATACAACTTTATACTTTGAAGCTTGTATCTGTGAATTTGCAACTGAAATTTATTTTGCCAATGTTTTCTGAATGAATTGAATAAAGCTTCTGTTGTAGCATGCCATGCAAACACATTATTGTGTTTGTGGTTGATGAATTATGGCTGTAAATAACACTATAGTTTAATAAGCCCACCACTCTAAGTTTATTAAACATTTTCCATTCTTGTGAAAGTTTCAACCAATTTGTCCTTTTTTGTGTGTGTTTTCAGCATTAAGTCAATGTTAGTCTCAAATATAACAACTCTTAATTTTAGAAAGTCATTTTGTTTTGAGCTGTGTTTTGAGTACATTTTAATAGGAAACTTATTTGTAGATGATTGCACTTACTCAACAAAAGAACACATGAAAACATCTAATTTGGCAAATTATCCCTTTTAAACTAGCTAATAAAATTAATGTGAAAGAAAAGACAGCACTTTTCAAAACAACCTTTTTGGGTATCCCAAGTCAGAAATGAAATATGGGCCATGAGAATATATTTCTTCAGGGGTGAAAAAGGAGAACTAAAAGTATTTGGAGTTTATGAGCAATGTTTCTAGAGCAGACTCTTTACTTTTTCTTCCTAGTGAACACTCTTTAGGGATTGTGATTCTGAGAGCTGAAATCTAAACCCCAGGACTTTATCCTATGTAGCAGTGGACGCTTGTCTTGGAATTACAAAAGTAAGTGGTACCACCCTCACTAATTTTTTAATTTAAAGAACTTAATCAGTACTCACTTCTTGTTTTTCATATACAAGTAAGAAAAAAAAAGGTAATGGAAAAAAATATCTTCAGAATCTTAAGTTTAAGTCTTTGTTTAACTTAGCAGATTCACATCTGGCTGAGGACTGGAAGTAATAGTGGAGTATTTGTAATTCTATTCTAGTAATCATAAATGCAACCAGAAAGCGATCACGTGGCTGTAAGTAACTCACTATCTCCCTCAAACCAGAGGCAATAAGCCTAAGTTTCACTACGGGAGAAAGGATGAAAAAGCTTTTGTTTTGTTTTTGTTGTTTTTTTTTAAACCTGCTACTCCAGTTAGGTTTTTTTTTCCCCCAGAAACAAAGAATGTAGCCAATAGTCACTCTGATCTTGTGAGATTGATGCTAATCTCCTTGAGTTTTTGTCTACCTGTCCCAGGCACGGAGTGGTGAGGTCAGCTTTACCTCTACCAGATGTCGAGGAAAGCTCTTGTAGTCTAGCCAAGCTCTGCACCGTTAGCAGCTTATAGCATTTCCCAGCTGGATATAATTGGCATCATTTAGCTTGGAAGGTGCTTGATTGTGAGTGTTAGTTCTCCTCTCTTGTCATTTTCCTGTGCTCACCACCCTCTAACTGTTCAGAGAGTTTTTACAAACCACATCACTACACTTTTTAGTTCCGAAGATGAAGCCCAAAGTTGAAGTAAAACTTCCATAACAGAGGTTCAAAGCTGTCAAAGTGAATGAGATTTATATATCCTGCATATAAAGTTAATATTATTAATGAAATGAGATAGATATAAAAGTACTAAAAAAATTCATGTGATACAAACAATGCCTATGTTTTCATTTCTATTGGTGGAAGTCAGAGGTCCTAATTTTATAACATTAACAAAGAATTGAAGTATTTCCATATTAGTAATAGAGTACATGTGTAGGCACAATACTTACTTGCTTGAAGTTGGGGGTGATCGAACAACTTTTGCGAGGATTGGAGGAAGACTTTTTATTATTGGATTAGCAAAGACCTGGGTAACAAATAGTTATCTCTTAGGGATTCAGAGATTCATAATCTGTGAGAGAGTAGGGATAACTTTTTGCTATGTAAATCAGTTGAATCACCAATTCCAACATTGAAACTAGAGTCACACTAAATCAGTACCCTTAAGTGAATCTTGTTAGTTGGACATGGTAGCATTAATATTCAGTAGTACTTTTATATTATGCAAATATCATTCTTAAAATCCCACATTATAGTAAATTATATCTGTTATAAGTATCCCATAATAAACATTATTAGAATCATAGTTCATTCTTTTTTTTTTTAAAGATTTTATTTATTCATTTGAGACACACAGATAGAGAGAAAGCATGAGCAGGGAGAGAGACAGAGGGAGAAGCAGGCTCCTCCCTGAGCCAGGAGCCCCATGTGGGGCTCGATCCCATGACCCCGGGATCATGACCCGAGCTGAAGGCAGACGCTTAACCATCTGAGCCACCCAGGCGCCCCAATAGTTCATGCTTTTAAAAATTGTTATAGGAACTTGAATGCTGGTAGCTATAGTATTTCTTGACTTGGTAAATTATGTATATAATTACTTTAGTAGCATTATGACACTAGGTAGTATCTTGGGACTTTGTTATGACATGGAGGACTTCACCTCTAAGAAATGCTTCTACTTTATTATTAGAAGTCGTTTGGATTGCAGCACACTAAGTTAGCAAAAGTATATTAGCACAGGAAAAATTCTTATTGACCCCCACCTCAGGAAGTAAAGGAACTGAAATTAGCACTATTTGATTTTTGCCCTTGTGAAATATAACTAAATTTTTAGAGACATAAATGCATTTTAATTCAAAACACATTCAGGTACACTAGATAATGTCTTATAAACATCTGCTTGGATTCATTCACATAGTAAATACTATTTTATAGCCTTCTTTTCTCCTTTAACATAATTATCTTTCTAAGTCAAATATTCACCTACAGTATCATTTTAATTGATATATAGCACTACATTGCTAGGATGAAACAATTTATTAGATATGTAGATTGTTTTTAATTGTTCATTATAATGAACATAATCTAACACCATGAGCACTTTTTAGTATGCCCTAAGTGCCTTAGATGTATTTTGTTAAATAGTCATAGCCACCTCATGAAACAGGTTCTATTATTATCAGCTTTATTTTACAAATGTAGAAATTAAAATGTAATATGTCTAGAATCTCAGTAAGAAATAACAAAATCAGGGTTTGAATCTAGCAGCTCAGTGATACCAGGTACCATATTATTATGTACTTTAAGCACTATTTTAAGTAACACCATGATGAGCATCTCATAGCTACCTTTTTATTTACATCTGTATTTCCCAAGTATAAATTCTTAGAAGTGGAATGGATGTGCATGCAAATTTAAAGACTCTTGAAAATCATTAATTGTCCCCAAAATGCTGCACTAATTTACATCTCCACCAGCAGTATCTGAGGTATTTTCCAGAGCACTGGTCTCTCCTGCCTACCAGTGGAATTAATATCTTAATTATTTTTTCAATTTGATAGTCAGAAAGATAATTTTTAAAGTCTTATATTTCATTTATTTCTTCATATGAAATTTTAATTTACATTTCAGAGAACTAGTTTCTTATAAAAGGGGTAAAGTTAAACACAAGCTACCACTTTTGTGACCTTTCTTCCTTTAGGTATTCTGCATACATGGCTAAGTGAACATTCTTTAGGATTTGCTCAGCTGAGGTTTCATTACTTGATATAAATATTTTACTTTAGTACCTAGCACTCTTTATACTATCATATTTTATCAGCTTTATTGATCATTATATTACCTTTATTTACATGATCCTGCACACCTTTCTAATGCTTTTCTGTATATCATGTCCCCACTTGACAAATGGGGACCTGAAATTTAAGGAACATTAACATAATTAGGCCTTTGGTTTTAATATGCAAGAGTTCTCCAGAACACCAGATTATTTTTATAAATCTGTAGCAATCTCAGGAGAATACATTCATAAGTGCTTTCCAGTTGCTTGGGTTTCATAAGCAACTCCAAAGAAGTTAGACTTCCAGAGGCTCAGAGGATGTGAAACCCCCTGCAGGAAAGGCTCTTCTCCCTTTTTAAATTGTGTCAACACTTACGGAGGATCTACCTAGATTTTGTAGCTGGTGGGGGCTGAGAGAGTTTAAGGGGTGGACAGCGTGTGTGTGTGTGTGTGCATGTGCTGAGAGCAGAGTTTAAGGGGTGGACAGCGTGTGTGTGTGTGGGGGGGGAATATCACAGCAAGAGAAAACAATGTTAAGAAATAAAGGATAGGGGCGCCTGGGTGGCTCAGTCGTTAAGCGTCTGCCTTCGGCTCAGGTCATGATCCCAGGGTCCTGGGATCGAGCTCTGCATCGGGCTCCCTGCTCGGCAGGAAGCCTGCTTCTCCCTCTCCCACTCCCGCTGCTTGTGTTCCCTCTCTCGCTGTCTCTGTCTCTGTCAAATAAATAAATAAAATCTTAAAAAAAAAAAAAAAGAAAAAAAAAGAAAGGATAGTGAGCCTTGGGAGGGACCTGCTTTCCATTGTATTCTAGTGTGTAATATGGTAAATTTACACTAGATACTCAGTTGAATGAGGTTGAAAGGAAAATAATCAGAATAATATACTTGAACATCCTAAGAAAACTTGAAATTCCAAAAGAGTTTTTCTTAAATTCTCAAAATATCCTTCCTTTTTTCAGCAAATATCTTTTCTATGCCTGTGGCATTTTATATATTTATATACCACTTAGTCTGAGATATGGGACACCTGGATTTTAGTGCATTCTTTGACACCAATAAACTGTATATAAAGG